CACTCTACTGGTCTTATGTGGCTGGGCTAGGCTGGGAGTTATCTCGCTGGTCATAGCTGGGTGGGCAAGGCTGGGGGCCACTCTACTGATCATAGATGTCTGGCCTAGGCTGGAGGCAATCCCACCAGTTACAGGTGGCTGGGCTAGGCTGGGGGTCACCCCACTGGTCATAGATGGCTGGTCTAGGCTGGGGGTCACCCCACCGGTCACAGGTGGCTGGGCTAGGCTGGGAGTCACTCCACCGGTCATAGATGGCTGGACTAGGCTGGGGGTCACCCCATTGGTCACAGATAGCTGGGTTAGGCTAGGGGTCACCTCACTGGTCATAGGTGGCTGGGCTAGGCTGGGAGTGACCACACTGGTCGTAGATGGCTGGGCTAGGCTGGGGGTCACCCCACCAGTCACAGGTGGCTGGGCTAGGCTGGGAGTGACCCCACTGGTCGTAGATGGCTGGGCTAGGCTGGGGGTCACCCCACTGGTCACAGATGGCTGGGCTTGGCTGGGAGTGAACCCACCGGTCATAGATGTCTGGGCTAGGCTGGGGGTCACCCCACCAGTCGCAGGAGGCTGGGCTTGGCTGGGAGTGAACCCACCGGTCATAGATGTCTGGGCTAGGCTGGGGGTCACTCCACCGGTCATAGATGGCTGGGCTAGGCTGGGGGCGACCCCACCAGCCATCAATGGCTGGGCAAAGCTGGGTGCCACCTCATCAGTCATTGATGACTGGGCTAGGCTGGGGGCTACCTCACAGATAACAGGTGGCTGGCCTAGGCTGATGGCCACCCCACTGACCCTACATGGCTGGGCTAGGCAGAGGTCCACCCTATTGGTCTTAGATGGCACACCTAGGCTGGGAGTCATCTTACTGGCCATAGAGAGCTCAGATAGGCTGGGGGTGACCCTACTGGCCATAGAAGGCTGGCTTGGGTTTGGGGCCACCTTACTGGCTATTGTGGGTTGTGATAGGCATGGTGTTAACCTACTGGCCACAGATGACCACTGATATGCAGTCGGGACTACATTATTCAAAGACAGACTTCTTGTCAACCCAGCCCTATAGGATTTCTGGGACAAGCTCTCCCTCAGATCCATGGAGCTTTGGCCTGAGGACATATTTCCCTCATCCCAGTCATCTGAGCCCCAGTGGACACTCAAGGTCATGCGACTGGACACTGAGCTGTGATGCAGAATGGGGATCAGCTCTGAGGCTCCAGAGGACTGGTCGTGGAGGTTTAGGGTCACATGCCCAACACCTGCTCTCTCAATCTCTTCCATATTCCCGGGTACCTGGGATTTCTCCCCGGCCTCTCCAGAGAGGACAGCATCTTGATGAAAGTCCTTGTCCAAACTGGCTTCCCAGGACTCCCCTTCCACCAGGTTAACAGTGGTCAAGCTGGCCACAGACATGGTGGAAAGGCTGAGTGAACTGCAACTACGCAGTGAGCTCTGGGAATTGCTCACATTGGGGCCGTAGCCTGTGGAGCCCTGGGAGAAGCTCCTGGCCAGGTCACTGTCTGAACCCTGTGGTAAACTGGCCACCAGTTCCTTGAGTATATGGTTAGTCACCAGCTCCGGTGGGCAGCGCCCACTGGAAATGGTCCCCCGTGTTTGATTCTTCTCTTGCCTGGAGATGGCTACACAGGGAAGGGTCAGTGCCAACCTCTTGCCTGGGGAGGCTTGGAACACACAGGGGTCAACCTGAGTCTTGAGTGCCCAGTGATGACCAGGGGCCATGGAATCAGGCCGAAGACCTGGGGTTATGACACAGGCCTTGGGCGCCTGTGGTTGGATTAGGGGCACCTTGGTCACCGTGGTGGCACGCAGTGGACTTGGGGTTACCTTTTTGGTCATCTCCCTAGTGCCCATGGAGGCCCGTCTATGACTGGGGGACTGAGTCCTCTGCAGGATCTCCTTGGGGACCATGGATGGCTGCTGGGGACCTTTGGCCACTAAAGGTTGACACATACCAGGGGGCACCCTGCCAACCCCTGAGGGCTGACACCAGCAAGCAGACCCCCCAGAAGCGGCGGCACACTGGTGGGAGTGGGTGGCCCTCCTACCACCTGTAGTTCTGGGAAGCTTGGCTGGTGCCACCCTGCCCTCCCTCGACGACACCCATGGACGTGGGGCCACCGTGCTGACCTCAGGTGGATTGTGGGAACTCGGAGTCATGCCACCACCAGCCAATGATGGCCGGCTGGTGCTAGGGCCCACACCATTGGCAGTGAGTGGCTGCCAGAGACTGCAGGGAGGATGCTGGTGGGGTGACTTGGGCAAATTGGGGTCCATGTCACTCAACACCGGGTTAAGATCTGATGCCAATTTACTGGCCCCTGGGTGCAGGCACACATTCTCCTCGTTGACCCCAGAGCTTAGGTTTAAGGAGTCGCTGCTGGGCCCCATCTCCCATGACAGATGGGGTCCAGGGCAGCAAGTAGGGAATACTGATGAATGGTGGTGACCACCTTACCAGTCAATAAGGCTCCCACAGAGACCACTGATGAGCAGGGTGACCCCAAGAGCATGGCCCCATCCCCCATCTCTCCCAAGAGCCCAGAGGGCCAGTTGGTGACAAAGCCCTCCCACACCCCACCCCAAGGAACCCTGACCTTGCCAGGCTGTAGTCTCATGGAGCCCAGGGTGGGCCCCCATGCGGCCGATGGGCTCCCCCTGTAGTCCACCTCCACTGGGGTTGGCATCACCGTCATCCTGCTTCCCGCTGTTTTCGAGGCAGCCTTGGGAAGGACAACCCCAGACCTCAAGGCCGCCTGAGACAAAGACTGGCTCAGAACGGCGCCCAGCTCCCCCTGACACAGGGCCTGGTTGAAGGTGGCCCTCTCCTCCTCCGTCAGGGCCTTGCTGAGCACATCCGCCAGTCGGCCCTGAATGGCCTTAGTGAGTTCCGCCCGCAGCTCACCCTGGGACAAGGCGCGGGACAGGGTGGTGCCCAGCTCGCCCCAGGACAGCGCCTTCACCAGTGCCGTGCCCAGGATGCCCTGGGGCAGGGCCTTGGCCATTGTGGCTCCCAAGACTTCTTTGGACAGGGCCTGGTTCAGGGCCGCCCTCACTTCCCCTTGGGAGAGGGCTTTCGCCAGCAGGGCACGGAGGTCCTCCTGGGAGCCCAGCACGGCGGCTAGCTCAGCACATAGGGAGGCCAGCTGGGAGGCTGCCAGCTCCTCCTGGCAGGGCGGGGCCGAGCTGGTCATTGACGGCTGGGCGCGGGTGGCTCCGCTGTCCCCCCAGGATTCGACATTGCACGTGGTGTGCCCAGCAGATGCCAGCAGAGGCACCAGCACGTTCTGGGTCTCAGAGACCCCCTGGCATGGGCCCTGGGTGGCCTTGGCCTGCACATGGCTATGGGACGGGAGCTGGGTCAGTCTGTCCTCTGGCTTGGCTCGGGGCAGAGTGCCCAGGGCACTGATGTGCTGGCAGGGCTGGGTGGAAGCTTTGAACCCAATCAGGAGTGGCTGGGACTGGGTCTTGCTGCTGAGCTCGGCAGCCTGGTGGGCTGCATGGAGGCACTTGGCTGTTTCTGTGACCAGCTGGGCCTGGGACTGCGCCTTAGTCAGCCCTGCGGGCAGATGGGCTTGGGACTGGATCTTTATCGCTCCTGTGACCAGATGTGCCTGGGACTGAGCTTTGGTCAGCTTGGCGGGCAGATGGGCCTGGGACTGCACCTTGGACAGACACGTGACTAGATGTGGCTGGGCTGGGGCTGCAGTCAGCTCAGCAGGTGATGGTGGATACCCCTGGGACGGGGCTTTGGTCAGCTTGGTAGACAGATATGCCTGGGACAGGGGCTTGGACAGACACGTGCCCAAGTGGGCCTGGGGCAGAGCCCTGGTCAGCTCAGCGAGCAGATGTCTCTGGGATGAGATGGTGGTTGAACATGGGCCTGGCTGTGCCGGAGGCGAAACTCTGGCAGGACATGTGTCCAGCTGTGCCTGGGGCACCACAGCTGTTTCTACAGGCGCATACACCCGGGATTGAATCTTCATGATATCTGCCCTCAGGTGGGCCTGCTTGTTCCTGTCCTCAGCCACTTTTGCCCAGGACAAAGCCCCAGGTATTTCCATGGCGACGCTGGTATCAGACACGGTTTCCATTTTCACTTGTTTCTGGGAGAAGGCCTTGATTTTCTCACCTTCCAAAGGAGGCTTGGCTGGAACCTTGGGAGCCCCAGCCCCCAGATGTGACGGGGAGAAATATTTCACCTTTCCCTCAGTCAAATATGAGCGGGACGAGACTTTGACCACCCCTGCTGCCTGCCTGGTGTTCCCCACAGCCTTGGTCTTTGGCCCACTTAGACAGGTGTGGGATGAGGTGTCAGGAATTCCGGCTGCTGCCGCTGCTGAAAGTGAAGGTTTCGGATTTTCAGCTGCTGCTGGAGGGGGCAGGCACAGGGTCCTGAGGATGGTGGCTACTGAGCGTAACTGTGCCGGGGTCTTAGTTATCATGGCTGCCAGGCGTGTCTGGGGAGGAGCCTTGGTCACCGAGCCTCCTTGGAGCATCTGATGAGATGGGGTCTTGGCCATCGTGGCTGCCTGACATGTCTGCAATGGGGTCTTGGTCATCGTAGCTGCCGGGCGCATCTGGGGTGGGGTCTTGGCCATCATCGGCACCGTGCATGTCTGGGGCGGGGTCTTGGTCATGGTGGCTGTGGGGCGTGTCTGGGGTGGGGACTTGATCATTGAGGCCAACAGGCATAACTGGGGTGGGATCTTGGTCATCACGGCTGCCGGGCGTGTCTGAGGTGAAGTGTTAGTCACTGAGGCTGTTGGCCGCATCTGGACTGGGGTCTTGGTCATTGGGGTTACTGGGCACGGCTGCGGTGGGGTCTTGGTTATTGTTATTGCAGGTGCTGGGCACGGCTGGGACTGGATCTTGTTCATCATGGCCGCCAGGCACGACTGGAGTGGGGTCTTGGTCATCATGGCTGGTGGGTACGTCTGGGGTGGCGTCTTGGCCACTGGGGCTGCCGGGTACACTTGGGGTGGGGTCTTGGTTATTGTTACCATTGGTGCCGGGCATGGCTGGGGTGGGATCTTGTTCATCATGGCCGCCAGGCACGACTGGAGTGGGGTCTTGGTCACTGTGGCTGCCGGGTATGTCTGGGCTGGGGTCTTGGTCACTGGAGCTGGCCAGGTGTACCTGGAGTGGGGTCTTGGTTATTGTTACCATGGGCACTGGGCAAGGCTGGAGTGGGGTCTTGGTTATCCTGGCTGCTGGGTACATCTGAAGCGGGGTCTTGGTGACTGTCATGGTGGGCACTGGCTGGGGTGGGGTCTTGGTTATCACAGATGTTGGGCCTGTCTGGGGTGGGGCTTTGAAGACCTCTGCTTCCATGTGGGCCTGAGTCTGGGTCTTGAGCTGTCCATGTACTGCCTGGGCATATCTTCCGGACGGTGGTGGCCCTGTGGCTTCTGCCTTGTTGGCTCTGGCAGTTACTGGCTTGGTCTTCGTTGTGTCACCTTCTACACGGACAACGCAGGAACTTCTGACAGTTCCTGTCAGCAGGCATGGGTGGCACTTTGCCTCTAGACTCACTGGACATGGAAGTTTGATGGCGACAGCTTGGTGAGGCAGGAAGGTGACACTGGGGCCTCCAACAGCACATGTAGCCTGCACGCCAGGCTGTGACATGCCCTGGGACTGTAGCAGGGCCAGCTGTTTGCTGTAAGTGGCCAAGCTGTCAGAGGATGGGAACTGAGTCTCCTTGCTCAGCATGATGGGCGGGGCCAGAAGGGATTTGCCCTCTTCCGGATGCTGGAACCGCACCTGCTGGGGTGGGTGGTAAGGAATGTCCCTCTCCTCCATTTTCACTCTTTTCTCCACCGTCTTGCCAGACCGGAGGAGGCGCCTGGTGTTGAAGCGTCGCCAGGCCTCCTGGATGGCCTTGGCCGCCATCAACTGAGAGATCAGCTTCTGTCGGAGCCGGTAGCCCCTCCAGTTGGCCTGGATGAGGGTGGCTGCGCGGGAAAGCATCATGTCCATCTCGTCCACCAGGACATTCTTGAAGGCCTGGCTCTCGACCACAGCCCGGAGGCGTGGGATATGGCGAGCCACCGTCTTGTCTTTGTCAGGCTGTTGCAGGAGGGTCTCCTTGGATGCAGGTGGCTGGTGCTGGGGCTGTGGACGTGGTGTCCCCACTTTGTCTTGGAGTTTGGGGATGGGCTGGTAGGAGCTCTGCCCACTGGGTGACATCTGTAGCTGTGGACACAGCATCCCCGCTTTGTCCTGAAGATTAGGGATGGGCTGGTGGGAGCTCTGCCCACTGGGTGGCACCTGTAGCTGTGTTGCTTGCTGCATTGTCTTGGTTCCTAGGCGGGTCAGCTCTGCCTGTGGAAGGTGGCAGGGAGGCAGTCAGGGAGTAGGGCCAGCAGACACGAGGTCTCCTGGCTGGGGTATGTGCTCACTCTTGGACCTATATCTTCTTGTTCCTGGCACCTTGCAGTCTTCCTCCTCTCTTTTGCAGGCCCTCTCTCTCCTGGCCACATGCCCAGGTGGCCTTTGGTCCCTATGTCTCCCCATCCTCCTGTAGCTACTTTGACACTAGCATGCAGTGCACATTCTCACCTGAATGGCCAACCACCTACTAGCTTTTCAATCTTCCTCTGTATCTGGAGCATACTGTGAGTACAGCACTGATCACACTGTTTTGGAAATATCTTGTTTGTGTGTATATGTGCACATTGTGTGTGTGTGTGCATGGTGTTATTATTTGCCTTTTCCCATTGACTGTGAATTCCTAGAAGGTAGGAACCAAATCTGAGTCATTTCTCTGTCCCCATCTCAGTCACAAGACTTGGCTCCAGGCTGTGAACAGGTGGATAGTGGCTGGGTGGCTACCTTGACTAATATATGAGTGGGTGAGAGAGTGAAAGTTGGATGGATAGATGGGCAGGACTAGATACTGAGTGGATAAATCAGTGGATGAATGAATGTTGGATGCGTTGGAAGGATGGATGAAGGATTGGATCGAAAACGGATGAGTAAAGGAAGTTGATGGCTGAATTGATGAACAGATCCGTAAATAAGGAAATGGACCCATAGATGGATGGATAAATGGATGGATGAGTGGGTAAACAGATAAATGGGATGGATGTGTAGTTGGGTGCATGGATGAATAAATGGATAGATGGATGGAGGAATGGATGGATGGATAGATGAGTAGATAGATAAATGGATGGATGGGTGCGTGGAGGCATAAATGGATAGATGGAGGGAGGATAGGTGAGTGGGTGGACAGGTGGATGAAATCTGAGTAGATAAATGACTGTGTGAATGAAGAAAGATGAAGGAATTGGTAAAGAGATCAATGAATAGGAGGTGGATTGATGAACAGCTGGGTGAATCAGTGAATGGATAGTGGATAACTGATAGATGATGGATAGATCAATGGCAGATGGAAGGATGGGTAGAAAGATGGATGAGGGGATGACTGGCTTTCAGAAGGACCTTGGTGCAGAGAAAGTTCAGACATTGTCAAGCAGCCCTGATATATAATCTAGAGCATAACACATTTATTTTGCAGAAGTTTTCCCCCTTCCTGCTGGACCAACTAGACTTCATACCTTGAGGGTCATAGAGTTGGAAGAGGAGCAGGAGGAGAAGGTGCAATCTCAGAAGCCAGCTTGCAAGAGGAAGCAGCTTTCAGCCCTTCATCCCACGCAATGTGCAGCAACACTGCCCTGGGCTGGCTCTGTCCCCAAGAACAATGTGAGAAGAGACGTTAAAAGCAAAAAAACCTAAATTCTCTAACAAAACAAGAATCTTTTTTTTTTTGCAAAGCTTATGCATTCAGAGGTAAAACTAGAGAAATACCAGTCAAGCCATAGGGTGGGGTAAAGCCATCGTCAAAAATGAGCACTTCTGCTACAACTGTCAGTGCATCTACTCTACATGCATGTCTTTGGGTTAAAAAAAAAAGACTTTCAGTTCACAAAGATGAAGGTGCAAGGACGTTTATTCCAGTGTTATTTTGTACCTAAAAACAAAACAACTGGAAATAACCAAAAAGGTGATTGCTAAGGGGTCAGTTACAAGTGCATAAAGAACAGTGTTTAAGGATGTTCATTGCTGCATTGTTTTAGAAGAGTCAAAACTGAAACAACCCAAATGCTTATTAACAGATACCTGAAATTAATCAGTAGAATAATCAGTAGAACATTCATACAGTGGTGTGCTATCCAGCCATTAGAAATGGTATCCAGATACACAAGAATGGCTAAAATTTAAGAAATGAACATGTTACAACCACTTGGGGAAACTAATGATAATCTTGAAGATTACTCATCAATCCCACCCTGACGAATAGACTCAAGAGGTCCAAGTGTTTATATTCATCCCAAACCAGAAACGACCCAAGTGCCCATCAACAGAATAGTGAATAAATCAGCTGTATATTCATCAATGTATTAATATAAATAAATAGAAATATTGACTTATTTATAAATCAATGACCCATGAGGTCAACAGTATGAATACATCTCACATTGTTTTGAGCGAAAGAAGCTGGACATAAAAGAGGATAAACTGGTTATTCCAATTATAGGCCATTGAAAAGGAAACAGAAGAAGTGGGGAGGGTATAGCTCAAGTGGTAGAGTGCATGCTTGGCATGCACAAGGTCCTGGGTTCAATCCCCAGAACCTCCATTAAGGGGGAAAAAAAGATAGTCACATGATTTTTCAAAAAGGACACCCAAAGCATTTTATCAAATCCAATAGCTATTTCTAATAAACATTTTTAATACATAGATAGGATAGTGCCTAAAAATGGTAAGCCTAATCACAAAACCACAGCAAATGTCATTTTAAATGATGAAATACTGAAGCATTTCTATTAAAGGAAGGAGCAAGATGTTACCCACCCTTGCTGCAGGCGGGTAACATCTTGCTCCTTCATCATTTTTGGTGGTCACAGCAAAATCAAGGTGACAAAGACTTGAGTGACCAGTGTAAATGTTTGAAAAGGAGGAGCGCTTAGCAAGAATTGCCACCCTAGAAGACCCAAGAGATTCTAGTTTAAAAATATGTCTGTCTGTCTATCTATCTATCTATCTATGTATGTATCTATCTATCTATCATGTCTCCTATCTTTGCTAAGGCACATGGCTACATACAAAAACCAACAGCTCTTCTGTATTGAGACAAACCCATCTGGAAATGAAAACGAGAAGAAAATACCATTCACTGTAATGTCCAAAACCGTACAATTCATAGGAACAAATATTACATAAAAGCCAAAAGGGTTATATGAAGGCCAGGAAAAGAGAAACCAGATTGCAAGAGATGGGATGAAGGAATAGGAGCCCCTGACACATAAGCCAAGTAGCCAGCAAGGCGATTTTGAGTAAATCCCTCTGAGCCTCAGTTTCCCCGACGTCTTAACTTGAACTAAGCCCACTTTCCCACGCTCTCAAGAAGATGTGATAGGCTCTCCAGGCTGGGCCCCCAAGGCAGACAAACCCACCATCAGGCCTTTTGGAGCCCCTAGCACCTCTGCTCTGAGGGGCTGTGGAGCTGACCCACCTCTCAGAGCCACCTGCAGGGCCTGGGAGGACTCCAAGGGCACTCGGCTCCAGGGGAGAATGACCAGATTGCCATGTACCCACCCCCACCAAACTCACCACCAGCCTCACTCACCTGCCCTTGAAGCTGAACCCACCAGCCCGAATAGCCAGCCTTGGGGCCCTAGTGCCACAGTGGCTTTGTGACTCACAGTCAGGTTCCAGCCAATCCCCACCAGCTCCTGGGGGGAGGGGAGGTTCTAGAAGGTAGACTCAGTGGGGAGGGGGAGAAGCAGGAGCCAGCTCAGGGCTAAGGAGTATGGTGGTTACTACATATGGCCTGCCCATCCTGAGCAGAAAGTTAGGGCTCTGAGCACATAGGGGACCCCAAAATCTTCCATGTGCCTGGAGGTGGCCTCAGTTTCCCATTCCTTGGGCATTTGCTGGGACCTGATCTGGTCCTGAGGACACAAACAACTCAAATAATTAAGGGATGTGAAACTTCTAGGAAGGAACCAAAGAGGGGGTGGGATAGGCTGAGCCCCACAGGGAGAGAAAGAGTTGGGAGAGATGTGGGAAGGGAGTCCCAAGTGGTGGGCAGAGCATATGCAAAGGCCTTGAGTGAAAACAAGCTGGGCATGTTTAGGGAACATGGAGGAGGCTAATGCCATTGGAGGCAAGGGAGAAGAGGGCAGAGAAGGAGGACTGTATAGGAGCTTCAGAGAGGAATACAGCAGTTTAGACTTTGTTGAGAGGGAGCCAGGAAGCTACGAGAGGGTTTAAAGCAAAGGAGGCCCAGGATCTTGTGCTCTGACTTATGTACTAAAAGGCCAGGCAGGTGTTTGTGTCCAGCTCTGAGGATAGGGGCTCCTTAGGGTAGCACCCGACCCAAGGCCCCCTGCGATCCCCCAACAGCCTCGCAAAAGTGGGCACTGACCTTGAGTCACAGTCCTGGAAGGGGAAGTGAGGCCACGGTCCCCAGTCACATCCTGGGCCTGGGCCAAGGCCCGGGGTGAATCACTGCTGGCCGGGCCGGGGCTGACACACACTTTGGCCTCAGCTCAGCAGGGTCCTGCCAAAGCCACACAGCCTGGCCCAGAGGCCTCTGCCTGGCCTCCCTGGGGAGCCACTGAAGCAAGAGGCCAACAGGAACGTCCAGCCTCCCTCTGCAAAGATTCCCTAAGTCTTCTCCACCCTGTGCTTGTGGCTTTGGGCAAAACCAGGGACATGGCTGTTGGACAGAACTTCTGTCCTTTGTTTCAGCGGTGACTAGGACGGTTCTCATCTTAATATATAAGATACATTTAGTCTTTGTCCCTGGTTCTTGCCACAGAGCTCCTAAAACTTAAGTAATCTCTGGAGTGATAAGTGTCTTTTGTATGCTAATAGAGGGCTGGGGCCCTTAGATAGCTTCAGGACCAGGACTGGTCGCCAAAAAAAGTTCAAGGCATGATGGGAGGATTCGAACTTTCAGCCCCACCTCCTGTGAGGGTACAGGATGGATACTGAGTTAATCACCAAAGGCCAGTAATTTAATCGATCCTGCCTAAGCATTGGTGAACACATAGGGATGCTGGGAGGGTGATGCGTGCAGAGGGCATGGAAGCTCCCCGCACCTCCCTGATACACTGTCTATGCATCTCTTCCACCTGGCTGTTCCTGAGTTATATCCTTTATAAGAAACTGGAAATAGTAGTACAGTGCTTTCCTGGGCTCTGGGAGATGTTCTGGCAAATTACTGAACCTGAGGAGGGAGTTGTGGAAACTGTCAAGTTTACAGAAGTACAGGTGGCAATCTGGGACACGTGACCTGCGTCTGCAGTGGGGGCGGACTTGAGGGACTGAACCCTTCACCTGTGTTGTCTGTGCTAACTCCAGGCAGATCGTGTCAGAATTGTAGGATATCCAGTTGGTGTCTGGAGTTGGAAGAACTGGTTGATGTAGGGAAAAAAACACCCACACACTTGGTGTCAGAAGTGCTGTGGGTGAAAACATTTTGGGGGTATCCCAGTAGATCTCGAAACCTCCTTGGGCCTCCCCGTCTCTATAGACTGGGGGCTGTAGAGGGCACCCCTGAGTACTGTTTCATTGTTCACACCGAGTCCTTCCAACTTCTGACCTGGGACATGTTATCTGGACACATGAAACACATCCTTTTCACAGCACAGGAGGTAAAAACCACAGTGGGGAGGGGACTTGGCTGAGGTTATGGTAGCCAACTGGCACCCAAGCTGGGATTCAGTCTCCTGAAGAGCTCTGCCCCCGAGAAAACATGGTCTCCTCCATGTCAAGACACCCCCATCAGCCCCCTTCTCACTCCAGGCCCCTTTCCTGACACATCTGCCTGAAGGTGGTACAAGAGGTCACAGGGTTAAAAACCAAACCCTAAAGCAGCTCTTGAAGCCTTGAAGAAAAGTTGGCAGTCAGGGTGACCCGGAGGAAGAGGGAACACGTGGGTTGGTGGGGCGCTACTCTCTTGATGGCGGCGGGACTGTGGGCACAAGGCGTTCCTTCTCTGCACCTGTTTCCTCATCTGTAAAACAGGCACAATTTGCCCACCTTCCCTAGCAGGGTTGGGTACAAGATCAGTGTTCGAAATTCACTTGCCCTGCATCCTTGGCCACCAATGTTTATGTTCCTCTGGGCCCCAAGAGAGGTAGAAGCCTAAGATCCAGGGTTTTTTGCCTCCACAACAGCAAAGGCGAGAGCAGGCAGGGGAAAAGGGTAGCCTGGCAGTCAAGGCTCTTGAGGTGAGAAACCCAAGGTCTCAGTATCCCTGTAGAGTCTCCTAGAAAAGCTGTCTGACCTCAAGCCAGTCACTCAACCTCTCTGAACTTTAGTTTCTTCAAAATGGGAGAATAGGATGTTGCGGAGCAGGGTTGCAGGGAGGACTTGAAAAATCCTGGATTTCAAGTCAGTGCCCCAAGAGGGAGGTCCCATGGAACCTAACTACACCTCTAGTCCTGGAATCCTGACTGGCTGGGTTAGATCCTACCTGTGTCAGTCTTCCTTCTGGTCCTGAGACTCAGGCTCCCCATCACAAGAACAATAATAAAAGCTTACCTTGAGGACGACCTGTAAGCCAAGCACTGCTCAGTAAACAAACTCTCTTCATCCTCACAACTTTTTGGGATAAATTTCTGATTGTTCTGCCCCTTTTACAGACAGGCAAACAGAAGCCCAGAAAGTTTAAATTTCTGCCTTTTCCGTCGTGCTTCAGGCTGGAGCTGTCCCCTTTCCCTCCTGCAGTCCCCCCTCCGCAAAGGCGACACAC